GGCTGGGGAGAAACACATGGATGCAGATGACAGACAGAGGAGAAAGGATGAAACACAAGGAGGCGAACATGGGAATAGAAAAGGGAGACAAGACACAAGGACGTGACTAAGACCTGGAGAGTGAGACACACAGATGAAGACAACGGCATGAATGGAACCTAACAGAAAGAGAACATTAATCAGGAATTACAAATGATCTCAGAAACATAAAAATACTAAATAAACTCAATGACCCAGCACCCTGACAGTGACAGTTTTACTGTGTTGTTTTTAAACTGGTGTGTTTGCTGTTAAACTGTCTTTGCTCTTCATGCCTGATTTCATGCTGAATTGTCCTCAGTCTGTCAGATGGAGGTGAAAGATGGGGAGGAGTCAATCCAGCTGCCCTTCAAATCCACAGGTGACCTCCCCGATGACATCAGAGTGAAGTGGTGGCGAGATGACCCTGAACCAATGATGATGGTCCACGTGTATCAGAACAAATCAGATCAGCCTGACAAACCGGACGAGGAGTACAGAGGCCGAACAGAGACGAGCAAAAAGCTGCTGGAGACAGGAAACTTCAGCCTGACCCTTAAACATCCAACAGTCAGCGACACGGGAAGATACCGCTGCAGAGTCGACAGCAGGAACATCTGGAGAGAGAAGACCGTGCTGCTCAAAGTCGGAGGTCAGTATGAAGGTTTATTTACATAATGCAAAATCAGAACAGTCACAGGTGTGAGCGAGTCCTGGCCCAGACATATATCAAGCGCTCGTTAACTTCTTCAGAACAAACTCCTTTGCACATTTTGGGTCTTTAAAAGTCATTTCTCAGCGTCGCTGGATACCTCAGCCCATAGCGGACTCCGTTGCAACTGCAAAGTAGATTCCTCACCTCGGTAAAGGCGGCACGCTGTTCACTCACAGCTTGGTTGAAGTCCGGCAGTACGGCAGACTCACCGTCTGCAGTTGTTATCACCCCAGCCCCGGCTGCCTTCCTGAGAAGTAGTTCCTTTTCTCTGAGGTAATGACATTTCACTACAAATGCCCTCGACGGCTGGTCATCTTGAGTTGGCTTGGTGCGGAGGGTCCGGTGCACCCTATCCAGAGTCGGCATTTTTTCCAGACCAAGAGCCTTTTTCAGCATTTCCGACACATATTCAGATGGGTGTTTTCCCTGCTCTCGTCCCTCCTTTACCCCCATAAC